CTGGAAAGCAAGAAGCTGGAAGAGAGTTCAACAAACAAGAAGTGCGAGAGAAGAAACTGTTAGCTTAGAACTTACGATTACATCTAGCCATTTCGACTGTAAAATGATGAGACCTAGCTGCCAATCTAGTACTGCGCTTAAATACATAAAGTCTAGATACTATTGCGGAAAGAAATAATTATTTTGAATAATACAAAAATGTGGCACAAGGCCAAAAGGAGAGATAAGGAAGGCTGGTCTTCAATCTGTCTTATCTTAAACTTATCTAGCCACTGCCGGTGGAGTAATGGATAGGGGATTGGATTGAGGAATCAGAGAGCCGAGTTCGAATTCCAGTCGAATCCATTACACTCACTTACGTGCTAATACCCTTGGGAAAGGTGTGGATCCTCTTCTTCTCCCTTCAGCTATGGGCAAATAGCAGGACAGACTGGGTTCTATAGCATTGGATGGCAACTGGTCTAGGAGAAGGACAACTCTGATTTCAAAATTTGCGGAGGGTCGTTTGGGGACCTTGTGGCACGTAGTGCACCAGGTCTCTGTAATCGGCCCTTCAAAAAGTGGGGATGGTCCTGCACGAAACCTTCACCGCTATAATGAAATCTCATGTGCTATACATGCGGGTTGAGGACCGCTTGTGAATTCCAAATTCCCATGAAACTCCAATATTGGAGCTGGCTCAACCCACCCCGGGTGAATGCCGTTACTGGTACTGGTGGTGGTATCTAGCCACGATTACTGACCTAAACATACCATAGAATTCCTTACACCAAGACAAAACATTTTTTCTTATCATTCTTATTACAGCCAACATAATACCTTAAATTCTCTATGTCATTGATGGGGAGTTAAAAATAACAACATTTAAAAGTGAAACCCTAATGATTTTCTATAGAGAAAGGTTCCTCAGAACAATTACCATGAAAGTATTTATAGAAAAGACACAGGGAAGCTACATTACGGCGATGGGGAAGTGACGAAAGTTGGAATGCCAGGCCAGTCTTAGAAATCAGAAAGGTAATTCTGTATTTCCTTTTTGAGACGAGTAATTACCAATATGAGTGTTATGGGACCTTACCCATAATAACATAATGGACTATTCCATACGTAATAAATACTGCGCCTCAAGAGGAAGCAGGGAGTTCAGTCTGAAGGCAGAGTTCCGTCTGAAGTCTAGGGTTCAGTCTGAAGTCTGGAGTGAAGTCCGTCAGGAGTCAGTCAGTAGAGTCAGAGGCAGTCTGGAACAGAGTCGCGTTCAGACAATTACTACTAAACCTGATTGTTCGTACTAACACTTTTCCACCTCTCGGTATATAATCCTGTTTGTAATATATCTGTGTTATTCCATATCCGCCTTCGAGTTCTTCTTTATCGGTTCTATCTTGGACTATCACCGTGGTGCAAGGAACCGGGCCATAACAATGAGAATGAGAAATTAAAGAACAGAGTTCAAATCCCCGTCAAGTCCGTTACATTCACTTAAACGTAAATACCACTGTATTGGATAACAGGACAGACTAGTTCCTATAGCCTTGGTTGGCAACCAGTCTAACTAGTCTCCATATGTGAAAAGAATATTTATTTTGAGTAATACAAAAATGAGGCACAAGGCGAAAAAGAAGGATAGGGTAAGGCTGGTCTTCAATCTGTCTTATCTGAAACTTATCTAGCCACAATTACTGACCCAAACATACCACAGTATTCCTTACACCAAAACAACACATTTTAACTTACCGTTCTTACAACAGCCATCATAATACCTCAGAGTCTCTATGAAGTCCTAACTAGTTCACATATGTACAATTTGTCTGTGGGGGTGGTGGATAAAAATAACAACTTTTACAAAATGAAACACTAATGATTATTTACAATGATTATTACTTATATACAAGAAACTAAATAAAATAATGTTAGTAATAACCCCCTCCCCACAATCCTTAATTGTGGAGAAACATCAGTTAACTGGAGGAAATTAATTCGGAACTTAAATAATTCAAGCAATCACTCAACCAACCACTCAGATAGGCCCTCATTCAAGCACAACAAATAAGAAAAGCACACTCAAAACGAAGAAAGTAATATTTATTTTGAAAAATACAAAAATGTGACACAAGGCCAAGAGGAGGGATGAGGGATGGCTGGTCTTCAATCTGTCTTATCTTAAACTTATGTAGCCACGATTACTGACCCAAACATACCCCAGTATTCCTTACACCAAAACAAAATATTCTTTCTTACCGTTTTTACTCCAGCTACCATAATACTTTAAATTCTCTGTCGTTCTAACTAATTCTCGTATGTGCAATCTGTCTGAGGGAGGTGTAGAATAAATATAACAACATTTAAAAATGAAGCCTAATGATTTTTCATAGAAGAAAGTTCATCTGAGCAACTACTATGAAAGTATGCAGGCTACATTATGTCGGTGAGATTATGTCAAAATATACAATGCCAAAAAGCGGGCGGATTAGGGAAGGCTGATCTGCAATCTGTCTTATCT